AGGACACCTTACAGCCCCAGGCAAGCTTGTCCATCTGCAGAGGCCCAGAGCACTGGTTCCTGAGTCTTCTCCTTGAATGTCCAGGTTCTTCCTTGTCATCCCAGTAGGTAGGAAGTTCAACACTGCACGGCTGTTACCATCAGTGACCAGAAGATGGCAGTGTCCACCAGCCGGCCCTGATTAGTCCCAAACCCAAGGGCTCTGAGATGTCCCCTTTGGAAGGTTTCTGGGAAAGAAGCTACCCTTTTCCCCTCTTCTCTGTTGCCTCCCCTCCCCCTCCTGGTGGCCTGGGGCACAGGGACAGGCCACGCCCAGTGGCCTGGGGCCAGAGCTGCGGCTGACCCTAGTGTGGATGCCAGAGCTGTTGCTCTGAGTAACCTGGGGCCGGGTATTACCGGTTGAGCGTGGGAAATTCCTCGAGCTTCAGGAAGCCCAGCCCTGGACATCCTACAGGGCTCAGCCAGAGCCCGCTGGAATCTTCCCACTTCGCTGTCCAGGTTTTTCTGTGGGAGATATTTGCAGCAGATCTCTGAACTGAAAGGAAGCTAGCATCACGAGACGCAGAGAAGGTAGATGGCTCTGCAGACTGCTGTCATCAATTTCTGTCCCTTGCCTTCCCTGGGAGACCTAAACCAGGGCCCTGCCTCCTCACCTTTAACCATTTCTCCAGCTCTGAGTCAAAAGGCCCAGAGGCTATGGTGGGTCCAGAGAGAGGACAGGCTCCCGGCTGAATCCCAGGCAGTGGATCCATCTCACACTCTCCCCGTCTTTCAGCAGACCCAGGGGACGTTTGATTGTCAGACCCACTGCGCATTTGGGGTTTAAAGCCAGGAAGGGAAAGGAACTTGCGGCCCAAGGTTAGAGGCACGATTTGAATTCAGGTCTCTTGGCTCTCAGAATTATCAGTTTTATGTTCCAAATTAGTGCATGGCTGCAGGGACCCAGCATCCCCAACAGAGGACAGATTAGATCAAAGGCTGACTGTCATCATGTTGCACCCACAGAGTGCCCTGATCAGAGGTGAGTGAGATGCTCTGGCTGCAATGGGGAACAAAGCCTCCCAATCACAGGGAGATCCAGGATGGCAGATGGTTGTGATGCCAAATGACATGCTACTGACCACGCCCCCTTGTTGGGAACTTGGCTTCTGCATGTGGACAATGTAGAGGAGGTCACCTCAGAGGGATCCTCTAGTTGTCTTGTCATCAGACATGGGGGCCAGGTGTCTGGGTGTGGCAGGAGAACCTGGGCACAGCAGAGTAGGCTACAGCTGGGGCTCTCACAGTTCCCATACCTGAAGGTCGCCTCAGTGTGGCTCTAGCTGGTGGGATCCAAGACTAACTCCCTAAGTGGTCTCAGTCTAGTGTTGTAGGTTCCCAGATAACATGTAAACTCCCCACAGCAAAGGTACCTTCGAGAGATGTGGCTCTCCCAGGAGTCGTAGAGAGGACTTCCTTACAACCAGGTGCAGGAAAAGCACAACCAGAATCCTAGAACTTTGGGAGGCCAAGCTTGGCAACACAGCAAGACCCTGTCTCTACAAAATATTTTCTTTAATTAGCTGGATGTGATGGCAGGTGCTTGTAGTCCCAGCTACTAGAGAAGCTGAGGTAGGAGGATCACTTGAGCCCAGGAAATTGAGTTACAATGAGCCATGATCCTGCCACTGCACTTCAGCCTGGGCAACAAAGGGAGACACTGCCTGGTACAGGGAGTTCCCCATCTCTGCAGGTATGTAAGTGCAGCCCAGAAAGCAATTTGTTATGATTCAGCCATGCATGGCAAGTTGGCTTAAATCATAACCCAAAAAGTTTTTCAGATCCTTGGATTTTATGACTGCATCAGGGACTTGGTGTTCAGAGAAAGCAAACAGCTTCTGCAAGGGATGGAAGAGCAGCAAAGTGCTCTGCCAGGGAAGGGTCTGGAGTGAGAATGTGGGAACTGCCCCTCCTCACCCCAGTTGTGAAACATCCTGTTGCCCCAGCCAGGCTGCTTTCCCCTCCTTACTCTGTTGGCGGCAATCTCACCTTCTCTCTGAGGAGGACTCAGGTGGAGTCTGGAGGTCTGGGGTTTGGGGCTGATCAGGGGATGAAAAACTAAAGTTAGAGCTTCCAGTCCCCAGTTTTCTCCCAACCTCCTCTGACCACTGCTTCTGACATCTGCCTCTGGGCTTCATCTGCTCTCCAGCCACTACTGGGGCAACACAGAAGAAGGTTTTCATTCTCAAGGCTGTTAGCGCAGTTAGCATGTGGCACACAGCTTCAAGGGCTCTAGGCTGTGTGCACTAGCCCTCTCCTGCCCAGTCCATCGACCTAAGGATCCCTGCATCCCTCAAGAGGAAGTCCCAAGTGGGCAGGGCACCTGGAGACCTGGGTCATGGGCAGGTCCTGCTGCTGGCACGACAGACTATTTTCCATGGCAAGTGTTTTCCGCTTCCAGCTGACAGCAGTGGAAGGCAGGAGTCCCCTGGGTAACACTTTCATGGTCTTCACCTGGACTGGAGAGGTCCTTTCTCTGCCAAGGATTTTCTAGAAAGCCAGAGAGGAAAGGCAGGCATACTCTTCCTCTCCACTGGGGTCTGGGGAGCAGGGGGGCAGAACAAAGCCCCTCACATTCCCATCCCCCACCTCCAAGCCAAGGGTTGAGCTAGGACAGTTGATGACTCTGGGCTTTCCACTCCCCAGGTGACTCTAGGCAAGGTGTTGAATTCTTATAGCTCAACTTTCTTTTTCTATAGCATGGGAATACCCATCTCACAGGATAGAGTAGCTGTGAGAATGAAATGGCATGAGGTATGTGGAGCAGCAGGCAAGGTGCCTGGCATTCAAGAGATAACGAATGGGCACCATCATTTACAGCGAGCAAGGGAGCCAGGCATGGCCCACCCATCGTCTGTGCCTCCTCCTTCTGGGCTTGGCTTCAATGTATTCCCTGCTGATCACAGAGCCCCCAGCCCATCCCTTTACTCAGAACTACTGGACAGCACAGTGCATTTATGCGCCTCTTGTTTGTCCTCTCCTGTGTCCATCCCAAAGTGCCATGTGCTTGTCCTGTGCATTGCTGAATCCACAATGCACCGAAAGTTACCTGGCAATTTACATCAAAGAAGGAATGAATGGAGGGATGGAGAAATAAATGAATGACTGTGCCCTCACTATACAGACCAAGAAGCACAGGTGGGAGAGGTGAAGTCCCGGTTGGAGCACACGCAGCAGGTGGACAGTGGCTCCAGCAGCAACAGCTCACCCCAGCTGTGTCTGCCAAAGCCTTCCAGGTGAGTAGAAGCTGCTTTTCTCTCTCTCTCTGCGGTTATCACCCCTGGCACTAGGAACACACTGGTGGTTAGGGGGCAAGACTACGTCACCTCCTCTGTGCCAACCTGTTATGCCAGCCACACAGAGGATGAGGTGAGAATCCGCTTATTTTATAGATGAGGAAATTCGGTCTCCAAGAAGCGAAGTGGCCTGCTCCCACAAGGACAGCAAGGATGCAGGGATTCTAATCCATCCCTCATTCTTAAGGCCCAACTTGGCAGGGGTGTCATGTAATCAACAAACGTTTATTTGCCACTGGCTGTGCCAAGACAGTGCTAGGACCCCTCTGCTCTCTGCTCTACACAGTCCGGTAAACTGAAGCCAAGAAAAGGCAAACTTGCTGTCACCCAGGACTCCCCGAGTGTTTGCAGAAATCTTAGCCAAGCTGATATGTAAAACACCCAAAGACCGCGGGCGGGCGCATGGCTGCAGGGGGAAAGGAAGCAGAGGGACACAGCAGGACCCCCCCATCCCAGGGAGAGACCCCGGGCTGCGGCGGGGGGGGGGGCGGCGGTGTCAGTCACCGACTCTCCAACGGCAGTCCCAAAGGCAGGGTGGACTGTTGAAGCTCGTCTATCCCAGATCTCCCAGGTGCGCGCATTCCTGCTACAGGAAGATCCTCTGCGCCGGCAGCGCCGACCCTGCCCCGGGGGTCCACCCTTCCCAGCAATGTCAGGCCTTTCTCTTTGACATCGATCGGCCTTGGAGTTTCCGAGGACTGAACCTCACCAGGCCTCTCTCTCCCACCCGCAGATGTTCTCGAGTGTTACGCGACTCAAAGCCCCAAGCTGAGCAGGCGCCGCGCCTCCGCGATGGCCTAGAGGGCGATGGCTGAGGAGTTCGTTTGGGAAGAAGCAGTGGAGCACAGGAACCGGAGATCCTGGGCCAGAGTTGGCCCAGGAGCTCGCTAGGCTGGGCGTCCTCTGTGGGTCCGAGCGCAGGGGAGCCAGGCGGGCGTCCGGACCCACGCGGCTTTGAATCGGGCTGGCTACCTCGCTTTGAAGCGGATCACCCGTTCAAGGTGATCACTACGTGCCGACCGGGTCTAGATTTTGAGTTCTGCAGCAAATGCAATTTTAAAGGAAAAGGACCCGCCCGCCCTTCTTCGGCAGTTCGCCTGGCCCAGGCCTTCGATCTGCTGAGTTTCCGATCGCCGGGCACGTCCAGGCTGCGGGTGGAGCAGAGCCGATGACTCCCCTCTCCTGCGCGTTCCCTTGAGACATGGCCCCGCAAATTGCCCCTGCCAGCCGCAGAGCCAGGTGCTCTGCCGCCCGCGCGAGTGCGCCCCGGGGCTTCGCCGCTGCCGGGCGTGCCCTCCGTCCACCCCGGGCCCCGGACCATCACTGCGGCGGGGGGAGAAGCTCGGAGGCGCCATCCCGGGGCTCTGCACCGCCCGCCCTCCGGGTTCCTGGCTACTCCCGCACAAACCCGGTAGCTGGTTTCCGTTAGCCGCTGCCCCGACCCCGAAGGCGGGCGGAAGGTCACCAGTTGAAGCCACCGCCAAACTCTCAGCGCACTCCCGCCGGGAGTTCCCCCATCTCCCGGGGCTGCCGTCCGAATTTCGAGCTCCTTCTAGAGCTTGGCTCCTGCTGAAGCGCAACTTCCGCGCCCAAACGTTTCTTTTCCGACAGGAGGTCCACGTCCAAAGTTCTTTCCGGCCTGCCCTTCCAGCCCCTCGCCCTGCCTTCCTCCCCGACCGGCCTCCTCCCGTGCTCTGGCCGCCCCTGCGATCCTTTGGGGGCTGTGGCTGGGTGGGAAACCGCCGACCCACGATAGGAAACGCTCCTTTGCGGCCGCCGGGCGCACCCTGGGGCCTCTCCCGGCGCGGTCACCATGTCGCGGCGCGAAGCAGACTGGAGGACGAACCCTTCCGCGGCCCCACCTCTGCGGTCCAGTCCCCGTCGCTCGGAATCGGAGCAGGGAGGGGGCGGGTGTTTCTCTGCGGGGGAGTGGGGAGGAAGCTGGGCGGGTTGCGCGCGGTGCCCCGGAGCCTGGAACAGAGGAGGGCGCGTAGGTGTTGGGCGCCGCGCGGGCAGAGGGGTGTCGCACTGCCGCGGGGAGCAGAGGCGGGGCACCCGGGCTCGTCGGGAGGCTGGGGCCGGTGGCACTCAGCTGGGCGAGGGTGGGGGCGAAGCTCTGTGGTGGGGGGAGGAGGCTCCGGCCGGGGTCTCCACTCTAGGCCGGGGTGGGGGGCTCAGCGCGGCCGCCGGAGCGTTCAGCAGGGGGCGCTGCTCCGGGCGTTGGGCGGGGGTGGGGTGGGCCAGGAGGGGGGGCCGCGGCTGGCTGCGCACACTTCCCCCATTATTAAACACTATGTTCAAAAGGCGCCGGGGGACTTCCCGGAGCCACGGAGCCCGAGCCGCCCGCCCGCCCGGCCCACGGAGCCCATGGACCTGAGCGCCGCCGCCGCGCTGTGCCTCTGGCTGCTGAGCGCCTGCCGCCCCCGCGACGGGCTTGAAGCGGCTGCTGTGCTGCGAGCGGCGGGGGCTGGGCCGGTCTGGAGCCCGGGGGGCGGCGGCGGCGGCGGCGGCAGCGGCAGCGGCAGCGGCGGGCGGACTCTCGCCCCGGCTGCGGGTGCCGCGGCTGTCTCGGCCGCCGCGGTTCCCCGGGCCCGCGCCGCGCGCCGCGCCGCCGTCTCCGGCTTCAGGAACGGCTCGGTGGTGCCGCACCACTTCATGATGTCGCTTTACCGGAGCCTGGCCGGGAGGGCTCTGGCCGGGGCAGTCGCTGTCTCCGCCTCGGGCCATGGACGCGCGGACACGATCACCGGCTTCACAGACCAGGCGACCCAAGGTACTTACGCCTCCTCTGTGCCCGCCCATGCCGTCAGGTCCTGGGCTGAGACCAGCCCGGAGCCGTGCCGCCGCTCCATTGTAATACATGTGGGGCCGCGGCCCCACGCGGCCCAGCCTCAGTTGATAGAAAGAAACTTCGCCGAGGCCAACATGCTCCAAGCCCGCTGCACTTGGACTGTGGCGAGAGTCACGGCAGCTCCCGGGGCCCGGTCCCAGAGGGCCGACTGGTCCCTCTCCCAGGTCGCCCTGGCTTTGCAGGCCGGCGGGTCCCCTCGAGGAGGCAGGCTGAGGCCAAGATTCGCTTCTTGGGGAAGGGTCTGGAGTGGCATCGGGATCAGAGCCCTCGGAGAAGAAAGGAGGGCAAGAGTTGCGTTCCCGGGAGTCACACCGAGAGGGACTGCACCGTGGTGAGGGTGATGGCTGCTTCTTTGCAGCAATTTCTGCAGCTCCCAGTCTCTTGGGGGCCACACAAACTGGGGGAAGCCCAGGGAAAACTGGGGCAGAGGCAAATATCAGACTAAAGTAAGTGGCCGTGGAGAGGCTGGTGGCATCATCAGGTATGAGGAGTGCCCTGCTCAGCAGGTTGGTCTGGGTGGTGGTGGCTTGTGTGTGTGGGACAAGTGTAGCTGTGGGTACCTGTGTCTGGTGCTGGGCCCCGGGGAAGCCAGAAGTGAAGGATGCTGGTGGTGTCGGGAGGAGAGGCCTGCTGGGGATCTGCAGAAATGTAGGCCTCTCTTAGACCCAGCACCCCATCTTGTTCGGCCCTGGGCCCTCCAAAGGTAGGATGTGGGTGAGGCTATGGTGTGGCTGCTGTGTGTCATCTGGATTTTATTAATCTCCATTGAAATCATTAAAGCAGACAGATAGAGAAAATTTAACCAATTTCAGGCGGAAATGCAAGTAATTTCGGCTTTAATTCTATCCAGCCAGAGACCCAGCGTGGAGGGCAGGAGAGAAAAAAAGCAAATAGGGCCGGGAAGTGAGCGGGTGGGGCTGAGGCCGCCAGGTTTGGGAGCCACTGACAGTCAGCACACCTCAGTTCCTAGCCTGGGAAGGCTGGCGGAGGCCTTGAAGTGACCAGGTCACCCATCCCCACCAGCACATGCCCAGCGCCTAGCACAGACTGCTTTATTTTGGGTACCTGGAAATCCTGGTACACAATCCCCAAATGGCCCTATGGTTCAGTTAGAACTATTGAGCCTTCTCCGAAGGCCTGACATGGCCCCTGGGCTGGATGCCGGGATACCCATAGGAAGCCCTAGTTCTGGTGCACATGGACAGGGAATGCTCCAGACTGAAGGGTACCCTGTAGGCTCCCAGGCTGCAGGAGACGGGGGTGTGCTGGGCTCTAAGTGGGCACAGGCACCAGAGTCTTCTTAAGGTTGAGCTAGGTCTACCATGGTCTCAGAGATAAATCCTTTTCTTGGGAGCTCAGCTTGGCTGGCAGAGCCTGAGAGGCCTCCTCTCCCTCCTCCCTCTTGGGGGAAAATGGAGTGGCAGGGCTGGGAACCAGGGAGAGGCAGAGAATCTGCAGAAAAACTCAGAGAAAGTGCTCCCCGCGAGGCCCCAGCCCTCCTTTCCTTCCTCCTTCTTCATTGAGAGTCTTAACTTGGAGCAGGGCTGATTGAGGTCCCCAGAGGCCATTGATAAGGATAGACCCTGGACCTCAGGCAAGAGGGTCTGACGTTCGTTCGTGGTTGCTGAGCAAATCTCCAGTGGTGGGGGGAGTCTGCACAGTCTCTCCCAGTTTAGGGGCAAAACGAAACCATATGACTCCCTTCAAAGGGAGCTCCTTATCTGTTGCTTGGTGGAATTTTCAATTTTCAATTTTTTTTTTCTGAGCCCAAAAAGGAAAAAATAAAAGAGTGGCCACACTGGAAATAAAACCCCTAAGCCCGAGATAAGTCACTACAGAGGGAAGACTAGCACGCGAAGTGACAGACAGGCGGTTCCTGGAAGCGACACTTCATTCTGGCCGCTGCCCTCACTACAGCAAGGTCATTGGGGATGCCCCGCACCCCTCCGAGAGGTTCCTTGCGTTCCTTTGCCTCCGTTTCCCCTCCTTCGGAGGCCGCAGGAGCACCGAAGGAGGTGCGTTTGTGGTTGCGATCTCCAGCAGCAACGCCCATTGCTGCGAGATCTGAGACCTTGGGCAATCCTGGCCCCTAGCTGGGCCTCAGTTCCCCTTCAGCAGAGCGAGGTTGGACTAGAGGCTCTCTGCGTTCTCCTGGACAAATCGCTGAGCCCCAGCCTGCATGGGAGACCGTGGCCAGCGGGGATATCCAGGATGGGTTAGGGGAACAGAGGTAGCAGAGTTTTCAGGAGACAAAAATTTTCAGTTTTCGCACAGCCGGGACTCTCGGCTCTGCAGGGAACGGCAGAGCAATAACTGTAAGTCTCCGTAAGGCCCAGGACCTCAGGAGCGGGTGCACGACTTCTTTCCACCCCAGCCCGAAAGTCTGATCTCGGATTCTGGCCCCGCAAACCCATGGCTCTGAGGCAGGCCGGGGAACTGTAGCTTTCTTCAGTCCTGGTCGGGGTTCAGGAGTGCGCTCCTGTTCCCGCGGCTCAGGGATATGCAGTGACCATGGGTTGTCCGCGTGACTTTGGCTTGCTGAACCAAAGCCTGGTTCCGATAGCCCGGGCGAAGGCGTCCTCGGCTCTGGGCCAGGCTGGCAGCGTTCAGGCTGGGGCAGAGACGTGGGGTCGGGCGCTGGCTGGAACCGGTCTCGCTCCTACATTGAGGGCAGCTGGGCCATTTGCTGTTAGGAGGCCCCGCGCCGACAGTGTGCAGAATTCGCTCTTACTCAGCTCTTTCTCTGTGTCCCTGCCGGTCCCCCGCAGACGAATCGGCAGCCGAAACAGGCCAGAGCTTCCTGTTCGACGTATCCAGCCTTCCCGACGTAGACGAGGTGGTGGGTGCAGAGCTGCGCGTGCTGCGCCGCGGATCTCTAGAGCCAGGCCGAGGCAGCTCGACTTCCCCGCCTCTGCTGCTGCTGTCCACGTGCCCGGGCGCAGCCGGCGCGCCACGACTGCTGTACTCTCGGGCAGCTGAGCCCCTGGTCAGTGAGCGCTGGGAGGTGTTCGACGTGGCGGACGCCGTGAGGCGCCACCGTAGTGAACCGCGCGCCCCCCGCGCGTTCTGCCTCTTGCTGCGCGCAGTGGCCGGCCCAGTGCGGAGCCCCTTGGCACTGCGGCAGCTGGGCTTCGGCTGGCCGGGCGGAGGGGGCTCGGCTGCAGAGGAGCGGGCGCTGCTAGTCGTCTCCTCCCGCTCGAAGAGGAAAGAAAGCCTGTTCCGGGAGATCCGCGCCCAGGCCCGCGCGCTCGGGGCCCTTCTGGGCGCAGAGCGGCCGCCCGATCCAAGACCTGGCACCGGATCACCAGGAGCAGTCATTGGCGGCCGCAGGCGGAGGAGGACCGCCTTAGCCGCTACGCGGACAGCGCAGGGCAGCGGCTCGGGCGCGGGCCGGGGCCAAGGGCGAAGGGGCCGGAGCCGCTGCAGCCGCAAGCCGCTGCACGTGGACTTCAAAGAGCTGGGCTGGGACGACTGGATCATCGCGCCGCTGGACTACGAGGCGTACCACTGCGAGGGCGTTTGCGACTTCCCTCTGCGTTCGCACCTCGAGCCCACCAACCATGCCATCATTCAGACGCTGCTCAACTCCATGGCGCCAGACGCGGCGCCGGCCTCCTGCTGTGTGCCCGCGCGCCTCAGCCCCATCAGCATCCTCTACATCGACGCTGCCAACAACGTCGTCTACAAGCAATACGAGGACATGGTGGTGGAGGCATGCGGCTGCAGGTAGCGCGCGGGCCGGGGAGGGGGCAGCCGAGGGGCCGAGGATCCCCAGCTGAAGAGCAGCAGCGAGCCATCCTGTCACCGAGCGTGGGTGCATGGCCGATGTGACTCAGAGCCCTCGCGGAGGAGGAAGAGCACACGTTCACACTCACACACACGCGTGCGGTCATGCACACATTTACCGTGGACAGCATCTGAAAGCCTTGGGAAGAGATGACCTGCTGGTACCGAATGTCAAAGCTTGTGCATTTTGCAAACAGATAACCATGGCGCCCACTGCCCCACTTGGGGAGAGGAAGGTGTTTGTGCTGATGTTGCAGTAACAGGCACGAAAATCAGGTAGAAACGGGTTAGGAAATTGGGGGCTCCAGAATGGGAGATCCAAAGGGGTACTCCAGCATGCTTTATCTCACCCCTTTTTGCTTCTGGCCAGTGTGGGCATCGCTCTGCCCGGTGGCTGGGCGGGCGCTGCATGGTGCACTCCGTGACCAACTGCAAGGCCGTAGTGTCCTTTCCCAGGGTTTGTGTTGCATGGGGCCGTTTACTCTGGAAAGGAACTGCTGCAAAAGCATCTTTTTTTTTTTCTAACTTTTAAAATTTAACATGCCCCTGTTTGAGTTTTGAAAGGGAAGTTTTGTCTGAAAGAGTGTGGAGCTTCCCAGATTTCTGCAAAAGTCGGTACCGTCCCCCCCCCCTTTTTTTTTTAAATCAATTCTAATTGGAAATGTTCTGGAACGTGGAAAGGACATTTTTCATTTTGTAGGAAAGTGAAATGGGGGAGGGGTTTAAACGGCTGAGTCTGATCTAACAGGCTATTGGGAAAGGGTAGGCTCTGCCAGGTTGGAAGCTCCCCAGCTGATCAGGGAGGTGGTAGCCATGCCTTGGGGTGGCTCAGGAGAAAGTTAGTGCAATGGCCGGAACCGAGAAGGTGGGGCTGGGAGAGGGGAGCTACTTGCTTTTCCCAAACCAGCCAGGGGGTTTTCCTAAGAAGCCCTTGAAGAGGCTCTCAGGGCTTGAGAGGCAGGGGGTTGTCCTGGGGCCCACTCCAGCCGAGGACTCCAGCTGTCGGCCAGGTAGGTGCATGCTCCCAGGCGCCGACTCGACTCCCGCTAGCGCTAGCTATCAAGTCGGCCTCTGCTTTTACCTGCCTTCACTGTGTTGTTGCTGTAGTTTTTGGCAGAGAAGTGAAGCCACACAAAAGTGCTTTTGTCAGATTTCACCTCCCATCCCCGACCTTCAGAGCAGGAGGAAGGTCTGCCCCCTCCCCTCATCAGCTCCCTGGCTTGGCTGCTGTGCCCTTCGAAGGGCCAGGCCTTGGTGTGGGAGAGCAGAGGTGGAAGCCTGTCACCTAGTGCCCATGTTTTGCCCCGAAGAGTCTTATCGATGGAAGGATTTTCTAGGCATGTACAAGTGAGTTCAAACATTCAGCCTTCACTGATTTGTTTATGCCTGGGAATCCTTTGTGGCTTTTTGTCCATAGGTTGGGAGAGGGAAGAGAAACCAGTTGGACTCCACTTGACTGGGGCTCCCAGGGCTCTTAGAATAAGCCCCACAGCCCTCCCAGAGCCTCTGCCTGATGCTGTGCAGGACTTTCCCCTTCAGAGTCCTGTGGAACATGAATTCCACCCTGTGTCGGATGCAGGACAATTCAAACACATTTTGATTCTCAGTGATCACACTCTTGAGAGAGAGAAGACAGACTTACGATTTAGATACAGCTAATGTACTTAAGGGCCCCACCTGCATCACTTTTCATCCTGTAAAATTCTCCCAAAAGAAAAAAAATTGCACGTGTAAATTACTCTTAAAATGAAGATTTCCCCCCTCCTATTATGTGAATTTATATTATGCAGCGGTATGAGTAGATATCAATAACCAGAAAATGAACAGTCTCTTCAGGTTAAAAAATTTTAAAACATCCAAAAGTGGCTGCACTGATACAATTCCATCTTATTTTAGTGACTGGGCAAAGATGGTCCCTTAATTTGTGGATTTTGCCAGAGACACCTCACTCCTGTTTTTTAAACAAAGCCTGTCATAATGAAGAACTATTGAAAAAAAAAACACTAAAGTGTTAAAAGTTGTAGTACTAGAAGGTTTAGAAAGAAGTTAATGACAAAGTGCAGTTAAATGTTATTTTGAAGATATTCTAGGGTATTCAGTATCTTTGCATAAAAACAAACATTTTGATACTTTTTTTAGTGACGAGGAAAAACACTTTTTTGGAAAGAAGTGTCTTGATTAAGCCTGACCTTTTCATGGTAGGGAAAAAAAAAAAAAAACTGTCAGTTTCCTCTTTCCCTCTGATGACCTCCTTCTAATGAGATGTGTTGTGAGTGGTGTGGGAAGTAGGTGTCTTCCAGCATCTTGAATTTGGGTGGTGCCCAGGGGAGGAGTGTTGTCCTTGGACAGTGATGGTTCCTTCCACGGCCCCATGCCCTCAGTATGCTCTTTGTTTACTGGATAAAAAGAATGCTTCCCAGATTGCCTCTGGAGCAGGTGAAATCCCCTGGGCCACCCTGTCCAACCCTCTGGCATCTCAGCCCATTCACTAGGTGAATGCAGAGGATGCATTTCACTTTGTAAAAATGACAGCAAAGGGCCAACACATGTTGGGCAGATGGCCTTTTGCTGCTAAGATGTGGTTCAACTAGCATTGCCAAGATGTGGAGAAAAGGATTCTGTTAGCATAGTTGGTAGTGGCACTCTGAGCTCTCTGTCTGTCTTTTAGGTAGTGGGGGACAGGTCCGGGTGACCAGCATGAACCCAGCTTCTAATGTTGTAATCCCTGGCTGGAATCTCTAGTCACCATGGATGGGAGAACTGACAGACAGTGAAAAAGCATGTCAAGACTGTGAATAAAGGCCATCCCCTGTCCTCTCAACACCAAACCTGAGGTCAGCAAAGTCTCCCTCCTAAAGTAAACAGAATTTTCCATTTTGTTGGGAGGCCGAGGTTGGCCGATCACCTGAGGTCAGGAGTTCAAGACTAGCCTGACCAACATGGAGAAGCCCTGTCTCTACTAAAAATACATAGTTAGCCAGGCATGGTGGCGCATGCCTGTAATCCCAGCTACTCAGGAGGCTGAGGCAGAATTGCTTCAACCCGGGAGGCCGAGGTTGCAGTGAGCTGAGATTGGGCCATTGCACTCCAGCCTGGGCAACAACAGCAAACTCCATCTCAATAAATAAATAAATAAATAAATAAATAAATAAATAAATTTTCCATTTTGCTGAGAGAATTGTGCACTACTAGCTGACATCATTTGAACCACTATTTCCCGCTAGTGAGTAGGATTTGGCATCCCTGCTTAGGGAGCTCGGGGCAGGGCAGCTGGGGCCCAAGCAGGGCTGGTGCTGGGTCTGCCAAACACGAAGACAGTCTGGTCAGTGCTGCTTGAAGCCAGGGCTTTGGTATGAAGGGGGATCACCCACACTGGCAGGTGGGCATTTCCACTGATGCCCAAACACTTGCCTTGTTGAATTCTGACTTTCCAAGCAGCTGCGCTGGGTCTTCCGGGAAAGGTGGCCGGCTTTGCCGTCTTAGCTTGAGGAAGCCAGGCTTGAGCTGTGCTCATTCATTGTATCCATGCTCCCCTTCACCGTACCCTCCTGGCAACGATACAAGGTATGGATTGTGTGATAGGAGAATCCAGACTCCACAAAGCCCAGGGCAGTCACTTCTCCCTGGCAGCTTTCATGGCGTCGGCGGGAGTGGGTGCCTCACCTTGGGTACCGAAGAGAGTACCGATATTCCTTTGGATGGAACAGGAGGGAGTGTAATTCAATCCCTGCACATGGTATATGCTGTCGCAATTTCATTCAGACTCACCGCAGAAAACAACTAGGGTTTGTAGACCGATTTTCTTCTTAGAGCAGGTAGAAAAACTGCGTTCTTTCCAAGAGCAACTTGTGCACAGATAAGGTCAGACTCTTCCTGTGCTTGAGTCTGCCTCCAGGAAGTCCAGTGGAAGGAAGAGACCATCCTACGGACAGAATCACTGGCCTCACTGATTCTCATGAGAACCTGTCATCTCAGGAAGACAGACCTCCCCTGGCCCTCACTGGGCCATGGGCCTGGAGGCCTGAGTCAGATCGCACAGTGAGCTAGAGGGAGCGAGGCTCTGGATGCGGCAGTCTAGCGCAGGGAGCTTGGGCCTGCGCTTGCCACTCAGAAAGTGTGTGATTGGGAAGGGAAGAGAGGAACCTGACAAGCCAATCTGGCAGCCAAACCTTGGGCGAGAGGAAAGTAACTAGATCCCTCTGGGGGATGATGTAGCTGCACCAGAGTCAGAGCCCGCTGTGGGCTTTGAGTGCCCAGGGGCAGCTGCTCCCATGGCATGGCCTGCGCCCACCTCAGGGGAGGCTGCTCAGGGGCCAGGGCACCATAGGCATCTCGTAAGAGAGGGCTGAGGCAAGTTATGGGCACTCACCTCCCTGCCGGAGCTTCATCTTCTGCCCTGTAAAATGATGCCCTCTCTAGTCCCAAGGTTCTAGGATTTTATCTTGTCCCCAGTTCCACTCAGGACAGCTTGCAGGCAGAGCAAATACGACGACTCCTGGAGAAGGTCCCCTCCCAATCCCAGTTCCAGAGCCGCGTCTTACACGTTTTACAGTTCTTGCCTGTGCGTGTGCATGTGTGTGCATGTGTCCATTTTACTGATATCCTCAGTAGGTGTCTCGTGGATGTGCTTTCAATTCCCGCGGGCTGAGGCAGGTGCGGGGAAGGCCAGCACCTCGAGCGTGGGGTTCAGCTACCCAGAGCCAGGAGCTGGCTGAGGGCACTGCCCACCCAGCTGCAGTTCCGCTTGTGCTCAGTTGGGTGGGCAGAGCCACACTCAGGCTGAGGCTGACTGAGAGACGTAGTGCTGGGAAGGGCTCTACCTGCTGCTGGGGCTCCTGCAGGCAGAAGAGGAAAGGCAAGGCTGGGCCTGGCTGGTCACCCAGACAGGGGCCTGGGACTGTCCCAGAAGCCCTGGATGAGGCAGACAGGACTGTCCCAGGGTGGACTCCTTGTGTCCCCACCCCTTCCTCACCACCATGCCCATAACTGGGTCTGAGGTCCCCTTGCAGCTTCCCACGGGAGTGAGCCTGGGGCAGCGTCAGAAGAGCTTGTCTCTCTTCCTTTTTATGGCCTGGAAAATGGTGGGAGGGTTTAACATAAAGAAGCACCAGAAGGGAGGACCCCAAAAGATGTTTATTTCCAAGTTTTCAGACAGCCTGGCATCTTGCATCTGGAGCCTCCTGACCATGTAGGCTGGAGCAGAGCTGTCTTCCTCCCTGTGTGCCGTTCTGGACTTTACTCTGTGCCCACAGCTTAGTACATCACAAACAGGAACCCAGGGTGAGGCTGTGGTGAGAGAAGCCTGTTCTTTTCAGGAGGGTCACTGTCCTAGCCTGAGGAGACACCTGCTGGACACAGGCTGCAGGGAGAGGGTTGGAAGTTGGCTTAATGAATCAGAGGGGTGATTGAGGGCCCAGGAGTTGCCACATGAGCTCTGATTGTCATTCAGGGGTGCTCTCTGCCCATGACCTGCAGGTACTCACCTTCACCAGAGCTTGGCTTGTGGTCTACAACCTGGCGACAGGCCTTTGGCTGGGCAGAGTTTGGGCTGGTGCTTCATGGCGGCAGGAGCAATTACAGCAGAGCAACCTAGGATGGGTGGTCATTGAAAAGTGGGTGTGAAGTCACTGAAAAATGAGGCTGAGTTTCAAGTTATGCTCACAGTTGCTGAAAAAGTAAAAATACACCTTTAGAGCAGCGTGCGATGGCCCACTTCCTCCTGCCTGTGCAGAGCCTGCTGGCCTCTTCAGCATCTGTGCGTGGTGCGTGTGTCTGTGACAACAGAAAGGGCTGCTTTCTCTCACACGTTTCCCTGACAGTGGCAAGAGGGCTGCAGGGGTCGCAGAAGCTTCCGGAGGGAGGTGTTTCGCACAGTCAGGTGAATTTGTTGGCAGGACAGCTTGGTGTGATGATACAAGTACAGTTTCACTCTTTGTCAGACAAATTTCCTTCTGCTCGTTTAGAAATGCTTGCAGAAACTTTTAGTCCCTTTTCTGTGTCCGTAAGGGATGCTGAAATAGTGTCTAGAAAAACAAGGAGAAACTTCTGACTGTCACACCCAGGCCACTTCCGGCAGAGCGTTCAGGGCGTGGCCAGCTGCTTTGCCTCTGCATTCCTGTCTCATTACCTTTTGAGTTGTGGGCCAACAGGAGTGCCGCGCAGTAGGGTTGGAGATCTGGCCCGGCAGGAGGTGGGCAAGAGGCTGTCTTTTTTGCAGAATACCTGCCCTGCTCCATCTGACCAGCAGTGGCAATAGCCACACCCAGTTCTGCATCTAGCTCCTGCCCAGACCTTTGGCTGCCAAAATCTAGACCCTTGGCTGACTAAAACGAGACTTCCGATAAGGTTCCCTCACAGGCATCCTGCTGAATTAGAAGGAAACAGGAACAAATCTGAGGCACACGGGGCTAAACTTCCCTCGAGGACATTTCCTGAGCTGTAAGATGGGAAGGGACAGCACCTCGGCTGGTGAGCTGGTGCAGCTGCACATACGTTTCCTCTGTTTTTCAGTACTCACAGGTCATCCCGAGGAGACCTCTCTTGGGCTATGGGCAGCCCATGCTTGGATTTTTTTGGTGTATGTGGCCAAAAAGCAGTGACCAGGTGTGTTGAGGGCCTCCCCTTGCCTGCACCTTTTCATCTCTGAGCGACTGAGGGCTGCCATTGCACATGTGTCCTGGATCCTCCCCTGGCCTGGGTCAGCTGCTGGACTTGGGGTGAACAGGCTGGTTTGAGGAAGGGGCTTCCCACAAGCAGGGCTGGTTTCCTGGGTCAGGGCCTGTCAGACTCAAAGTCAGCCCTTCAGCATTCTGTTTAGAAAATGATGATGCAGTTCAGCAAGAAAGAAAGCTCAGGATAAAATGTGTTTTGGCGGGGAAATACTCAAGTGCTCTAAGCCAGGAACAGAGACTCTCAAGAGAGGAATTCTCTGGCATTCTCTGCCTCGGATAAATCATGGATTAAACATGAGCATCCTTAGAATAATTTTATTTTTGTATTTGACTTTACACTGTAATGCAAACAGCTTTTATGTTTTCTTTGACAAAGAATCATAATTGAGTCACTTTAGGTCTTTTAGCTGGCAGTATTTCACCCTAAATGAAAAGTTAATGCATTTTTTACAAGGATTAACATGCTAGTTCCAACTTGCCCTTTCAGCAGATGACAATAGGGGATTCTGAAAAGTTTGGACAGAGTTTTTTTCTTTTTGTATACAAATAAAGCAGCAGATCGTTTCTCTGTAAAGGCCACTGCAGAGCTCCTGCACCAGCTTACAAAATGATGTTGTTTAAGCAGGCCTTGGGTGGGCAGCGGAATTCTGCACGTGACGAGTGGCCTGCAGCTTAAAAAGCAAATGTCATCTGATTCCAGTACTGTGATTTTAAGGAAATGATAAAACTCAAAGTGCTGGTAATGCCATCAAGGCTTAACAACACGCCATTCCCTCAGCAGCTAAAGACAAAATGAATTATTTGGGTGAGGGGACAGAAGTCCTTTCACTTTGCAGTGACACCCATTTTTTCTTGGCTTGGGAGTAAGGAGTCTGGGGTGTGGGGGACATTAAAAACTCATTTAAGGCAAACCGAAACCTCCTTTGTCAGCACTCTTCCAGCTCTGCTGTAGCCAGAGCAGAGTTCCAAGGCTGGCAGGCTGAGCTGTCTCCTAGTTGCCGGGCCTGGCATTTATTTGGGCAATGCAAACGACATCGTGAAGCATTGCTGATGCCCAGGCCAGCTAGCAGGGAGCCCTACCAGGGCAGGTAGAAACCTATGTGTATATGTATTCTCAAATTTAAATAGATTGTACATAGCGAAATGTAAATGACCTGTAAAACAGCAATCTCTATTTTTCTTAACTATTATATAGTGGTATATATTTGTTAAACATGCTTGTATACTCTTCATTAACCACTTTAATATTTTGTACAGATAAGCTGATTAAATATTTTATTCATAAAATTGCTCATGACTGGTCTTTAAAGGAAAACATTTTCAGCTTTTGTTACTCAGCCTTTCTGTGTTACTGGAATCCTCAACTCATTGACAGAATAGGACTGACTATATTTTAACAGTGGGGGTGACATAGCAGGCCTGGCTCCATTTGTCTTTGTGCCGATCATTCCCATGTTGTGAGATCAGGTGTGAGGCTGGGGGCCTCAGGCCTGGGGGGCTGCATCCCGGGTCTTGGTGACTGGTATGAAACTGCATAGCATGCTGCTGCATACAGCCTCACAGGGCAAGAAGTCACTGCACAGCAAGGTAGAAAACATGTAGCTTGCGTTCAGGAAAGGAGGCCCAAACATTTTCTCTCCGGGAAATGACCATGATAATTTGTAGAGTGAGCACTGTCATTGCAAATGCAGTTTGAGCAGACAGAGTTTCTGTGTTTATACATTGCAGGCTGCTGCAGGACCCATCTCACTTGAGAAAGATGAGCCCTCCCCACCTGGAGGCTGCATAGTTAAGTCTCTGAAATCCCAAGGCGTAAAGTCCCATGGAAGCAGCGTCCTCTGCAAGGCCAATCACATACTTCACAGAACCCAAAAAGGTCCTACAGCAAATTTGACAGGCCTTTTTTTGCCCAGTACTCTTCAAGATAAGTACAAAAGCCTGTGCCCGGTGTCACCACGAAGGATCCAGCAGGATAGGATCAGCCACACAGTGTGCTGTTGCCAGCCCAGCTCTCGCACTTGACTTTCGCCTACAGATGAAGGAGAAATCTATTTCCCGTGGTCCTTAAATATTTCTGGGAGAGGACTGATGACAGAGCAGGAGTTGTAGGAAGGTGTCAGGGACTTGGGCTTATTAGTGACTTGTTGCCAGGATTACCTCTTTTGGGAGATGGAGCCTGCTGGAGTGACCCACCTTTTCCTGAGTGATGGCAGCACATGTTCATGGTGAATCAAATTTCCCACAGTTTGTTAATGAAGGTCCCTATGGTCACGTGACTTTCTCTCTCTGGTGAAAGATCAAGAAGGCCTGCTTTCTTTTCACTGCTCTATTTCATATTAGTAAATAAAGGAGTCTCTTCCACTGGAAGGAAAATTGTGCTCCCTTTTCAACTAACTCATTTGGCAGGTAGAATAAATGCGTAAGCTCTGCGACCCTGCCACTGAAAACTGTAATGTCTTCTCATGCTTTGTTTATAAGCATCTTTGGTCCATTTTTCATTTTCTTATTTTTCAGCCTCCATTTGACCTACCTCAGCATTCTGTGGTTAGAGTACACATTCAGTAGAGGAGTAGTTACAGGGAGAAAGGTAAGTCAGGAGTGGCATTTAAAATTTTATCCAATTTCCCAGACACTGATAAGAGCAAGACTAAAAGGCCCATCTATGACTGATGGTAAAGAAGGCTAAGATAGACTTCTCCACTCCTTCCCTGGCCATGTCAGGTCCTGGATCTGCTGCCTGCTCATTTCCAAACAGTCCAAGGCAAAAGCCTTGGACTGCTTGGAACTGCCTCCAACCACTGCTCCATTGAGGGTGGTATCCAATGTGGTCATGGATGCATGGGCTCCTGTGCCCTAGGAACTCTGTGACTCATCTGCTTAGAAGGGACAGTGATCGGGGGAGAAACTTGTCCACTGCGATGTGCCACCAGCATGCAGGCCTATAGGCTGTGGGTGTCTGCTGAGTCCTAATCACATGCAGGTGCGCAGCCCTTCACAGTGGCCAGTAGGAGGAAGCCCAGATGTTCTGCAGAGCCTGAGCCGGGTGGATTTGCAGAGGCGGGATTCTAGTCCCTCTGTGAGGGAGGGAGACCCTGCAGGTGCACCGCGCCCCCTGGCTGTAATGGACGCCCAGTCATAGGGTCACATTCCCATCCCAGGGAAGAGGAATTTTCCCATAGACTTACCCAGCAAGGAAATCTATCCCAATGTGGGGAGGTCAGCACAGGTCCCTTTGCCAGAATGTTTGAGGAATGCAACACCAAATGAAAATGCTCGATTATCCCAGAGCACAGTCTTGCATATTGTTGTTCTAATTCCCACTTGGGGTGCTGTGAGGGGTTAGTGCTCAACAAATAATAAACTACATATTTGGTAGTTGCTAATACCCAAACTCCAGAGGTTTTCTAATTGTAGAAGAATGGAAGTAACAGTTGCAGCCATATCAGACAAAATGAATGGGATACAAGGGATAGTGGCCTTGCTTTCCTGCAGTCCCCCAGTGCCAGACGCAAACAGTCTGCAAGGATTCAGACATCCTTGAATCTAACTGACCCAGTTGTGCACAGCTCTGCTGGGGAAACACTTAAGGGATAGAATAGCAAGTGTCCATATCTGTACTCCCACTAACATGTCAGTTTTAAGATGAAGAGGCCCTGAGATGTGATTTCCTGATAGTCTGACCCAATGTAAGAACTGCTCTTTTTGAGAGCCTGCCTAGAATGGTATGGTAGAAACTTTTTATTAATTTAGATAACAAAATTTATAGACGACCCTGTGTAGCAAGCCCTATTTGATACGCCCTGACAGTACTGAGATGATTAAGACAGAAGTCCATCTTCTAGGACTTTCCTGAAGGAAGGGGTGTTGGTGGAGGCAGGGAGGAGCAGCCTGCAGAGACATAATTCCCGCAGCAATGATAAGTCATTCAGCAGACACAGGCCAGGCCAGGGGTCATGAAGGCCTGCGGGGAATGGTAGGGTGGGAGGGACTGCTCTGGGAGGCAGGAGCAGTCGGAATTTTGGGCCACATTTCATGGGGTGGGGTAGAGAATGGGCGTCATCAAAGCTGGAGCAGTGATTTCCGTACAGAGGAGCCCACAGGAAGTCCCCATGCCTGGCGTGAGAGCAGGTGGTTATGGAAGAGTTGCAGAGGTGCTGGCCATGTGACTGCAGCCACAGCACTGGCTCCCGGCATGTGGGCCTGCTTTCTCTCAATCTACTGCCTGATGCATTTTTTCCCCCTCTGAAAACTGGTCTCTGTTATAGCTTTCATTCTTTTACAACTACTCATTTGTTACCAACTATCTACTCTTCACTTTCCCTGCCAATCGGGTCCTCATTTGCCCTTTGCATAACTCTCCTGGCTTTCCACTTTTGCTAGGCTTGCCCATGGTGGCCTCCATGAGGCAGCACCATGCAGTGGAGAGAGAGAATGAAGCCATGGCTCTGGAGTAGAGGCCTGAAATGGAATCTGGCTTAGTTCATTTTTGGTTGCTATAATGGAATGTCAGAGACTGGGTAATTTATAAAGAAGAGATTTATTTCTTATAGTTCTGAATGCTGGAAAGTCCAAGATCGAGGGGCTGGCATCTGGTGAGGACCTTTGTGCTGCATCCTCCCTGACAGAAGGTGGAAGGGCAAGAGAGCATGAGAGAAGAAGAGATCAAACTTGCAGCCTTATATCATGCCTTTTTATCACTGGCATTAATCCATTCAGGAGGGAAGAGCCCTCATGACTCAGACACTTCCCATTAGGCCCCACCTCCCAACAGTTGCACTGGGGACTAAGTTTCTAACACATGAACTTTGGAGGACACATGCAACTACAGCAGAATCCCAGCTCTGTCATCCAATAGCTGTGAGATCCATAGCAAGGCATCTCGGTGGTAATCTGTAAAATGGGCATAGTCAGAACATCACAGGACTAGGGGGCCTAAGCGAGACACTGAAAGTGCAGGGGTAAGCAGCAGACTCCTTATCTGGATTAGCTCTCATCTATTCCAAACCACCTATTCAAGTTCTACCTGTCCTTGTAGGACTAGGGACAACCTCTTCCTCTTCTCTCTTCCAAGAGCTTTCTCTTTATAGAGCCCCTTACAGAACCACAGAACCACCCAGAGCTTGGCCCTTGCTCATGATCTGAGGATGCTCACCCAGCGTCGCTCTTGGTGACACCAGTCTTGTTGTAGAGAGATGCCTTCAGCCTGGTGGGAGGGGCCAGATCCACGTCCCACAGCTACTCCCCACCTGGGCCAATGTGAGCACTTACCCATGTCTGTATGGGGCACAGGCAAGAAATCTCAATCCTCTTAAAAAGTGATTAGAAGAACACTCATACAAACTTTGCTGTCCTCAGCACTCTTGCAGAAGAGCTTCATTCAAGGTCCCACAGAACACACTCAGTCCCAGACTGCAACCTATCCTTAAGGCCCACCCCCAAGGGAAGGAACAGCCCAAATATATCATCACCTCTCCTCTTCTGCAAGAGAAGGCAAAGGACAAAGATGTCTGATGCCATCTAAGAGATGCTTTTCTTCCTGCATCTTTTCTAAACGGACTGTTAGAACATCATGGGCTGTGTGTACGGAGGCCCACATGGGCCGAGTCCAGAAAGCTGAGCCAGTTGAACAAGCATTATCCCTGTGTAAGAGCCAAAATGCTGACTGCTAGAATCAAGTTACAGGCCTCGTGAAACAGTGCAGGGACTAAGATACCACAGGGTCCTCCGCTATACCAAAGAGGAGATAAATGAAAGAAAAAAAGGAAAAACAAGTTTGCTATCCTCCTTGAGGTACCATTTTATAGAGCATCTACCATATGCCAGGCAAGGTACTAAATGCTGTATGATGGCCTCATTTTATCTCCATTTAAAAAACAACAAAAAAACTTTCCCAAATAAAAAACTGAGCTGAATATCAATATTATCCCAAATTCACAGATGAGGAGCTGAGGGGACTCAGGGAGGTGAAGTCTTACATCACAAACCTAACAAATGACAGATCTGGGATTTGAACCTAGGTCTTCATCTACTGCCTAGAAGAATAAATAGCCTTCCTGGAAAAGAAGCAATGAGACACTGGCGTGGGAGAGAGCACGGTGGGGTTTAAAAAGAATTATTGTGACAAATTCTAAAACATCTCAAACTTCCAAAAAAATCTGCAAGTATAAAGAACATTATTGTCCTCTGAACCATCTGCCAGTAAACAGACCTGCTGCCCCTCACCCTCAGATACCTCAGTGTGTCTCCAGTACAAACGAGGACACTGTCTTACTTCTCCCCAGTAAAACCACTGAAATCAATAAATTAACAGTGGCATCTTACTCCCAGCTAAATCTTCAGGCCTCATTCAAGTTGTGCAGATTGTCCCAACAACATCTTTTATAAAAACACATCCAATTCTGAATCAGATGTTTTGTGAAATTGTCATGTCTCTTTAGTCTCCTCTGAAAAAAAAATTTTTTTTTTTGCTCTTTTAAAAACATTATTTTAGACACAGAGGTCTCATTTTTTGCACAGGCTGGTCTCAAACTCCTAGCCTCAAATGATCTTCCCTCCCAAAGTGCTGGGATCACAGGCATGAGCTATGGCACTCAGCCTGTTTTTGTTTTGAATATAATGTAGGATGAAGAAAAATCAAGACTTTGATGGTCCCTGGCTCTCCAAAGGTTGAGTGGAGGAGCAGATGATGAGAGGCCCTTGGTGGCCATGGATATCAGGCCACACAAGCCATGGAGGGCTCGTGGAGATTCCTGTGGCTCAGAACAGACTAGGAACAAACATGGGCAGTCGTCAAGGCGCAATCGCTGAGCCCTAGGTAACTGTAGGAAGTTGAAACTTTCACAAAGACCATCCATGTAGTTGACTGGGACATACAGGTAGAGCTGCTTCTGGGAAATGGATTTCATCTACTGTTTGTCCATTTTAGTCTTCTAATCCCTAATGAAAGAAAATGAACTTCAGCCTCTTGAAATCTGATTCTTCCACCTATGAAAAAAAGCAATGAGAAAGGTGACTTTTCATTTTAAGAGAGAGACTTTGAGCTGAGTCTAACACAGGAGAACTGCTCAAATTGTACCCTCTCTTCCTCAACAAAGAGATCAGGCCAGATGAAGTCAGAAGTGCTGGTAAAACATTTATTTCAAAAACTCATTTGGTGTTCAGATGACAAACAGGAATTAAGAACCAATATTTTTCTTAGGCTCTAAAAATCAGAAATAAGACACAATTTCATAGATGCAGACTTTTGAAATATAGAACAATGTTTAAAATAACAGCTAAAAGAAAAGCTCTGAATGTTATTCTTTATTCCAGTAGGTATGATTTACTCAGTACTTGTTTACATGCTTTGATTTAGTAGTATTGAGTATCTCCTGTATGCAAGGCACTCAGAGCCATAAGTCCTAGCTTCTAACATCAGATTTCTAGGCCTCCCATGCAGATGCCAATAAAAGCTCTGTGTACAGCTCTGTGCTTATGGCCTCTGTATCTACCAGCTCTTCCCCTTGGGTTAATAGCACTTCTTGTCCGGAGCTTGTCTTTTCCCCTCTGAGAAGTCATTTGCTGTGATATAGAAGCTATGCCAAAGCACAATAACTCATTCAGCACTTACCAAAAAGTTGGCAGCAAATCAGAGCTGAATCTTTCATCAGGGGGCTTTAGGTTTTGAGGGGAAGGACAACTCATTGTCCTCAGGGAATGATAATGCCATGAGGGATTTCCTCTAGGAGAAAAAGGAATATTTCGGATCCATCTTCCACTGTCACTGCAGTATATGGTTCTCGGGATTGAGTCAAGTTAGGGAAGGCAGCAATGTTGTCAGCCCACTCAAAGCTAGGGAACATGTGTCTTCTCTACCAGACCTCAATGTGAATAGAGAAGGTGAATTCATGTAACTTAGTGGCTGGGTTTGGTTCATTAACAAAATAATTTCCTTCCAGCAAATGATGTTAATGCAGAAATGGAGAACTAATGTATGGTAATGTTTTACTCAACAGTTTAAAAGACATTTTCAAAAATTATTCACTAGAAGATTTCCAGAAGAAATGAATCATTAAGTAGCTAAGAACTCTATCCTCAATGGCTAGCACACTATTTGGCTCATTGCTGGTCTTCAATGGAGTTTTAGTGTAAGAATTACAGAAGGAGTAACTGCATGTTGGCACATACAAGTCTGATTTGGGAGAGCCTGGCACCTCTCCATCCTGGCTCTGAAGAGGTGGAGCTTGCAGGGAGCTCAAAACCTGGCAGGCTAAGGCTCAACACAGAACTTGCTGGTTGTCCTGTGGCAGGAGGCACAGTTGGGGTCCTTCAACAACTCTTTATCTGGTTACCTGACCACAGTAATGTCTGGTGAACTTTATTCACTGTCTAGTGCAGGTAGATTAGACGTCACACTGATGATCCTGGCCAAGACCTGTGCTAAGTTAGTCTGGGCTGATCTTCATCTTCCGTCTTAAAGGAGACCCAGGTTCACTTCCTCCTCCTGGAACACGAGTGTACCCTTGTCATAATCTCATACACTTCACGTATCTAACTATAATCTTAACATTCACCGATTATGTTTACATTTTCTAGTAGGTATTTCATAATTTCCTCCAGAAGAGCCTATTCTACAATGTAATCCAATTAAAATCAACATGTAGATTTTTTTTTAATCTGCAAAGATCCTGCCTACCAAAATAAACCATATGGTGCCACTAGGCATCTCATGCAAACACGAGACTCTGGGTAGATCACTGTGCTCCCTGTGTCTTGGAAAATGTATGGTTAAACCTATGGAATGATTCATCCTGTGTTTCCTTCAGCCTGTTACATGGGGAGCTGGGAGTTGATTTGTAAGCCAAGAGGTTCTCACTTTCTTCATTTCTAATATCAGTCTTCAAAATTAAACATTTACCTAAAAAGTCTAGTACACTGACTGCCTCCATGTACTGGCAGGGGGGGCTTGTTCTTCAGGCCCATTTACATTTTGGACAGATCATCCTTTAGGGAGTCAGCAATCACGTCTGCCATTTCCTGGTTAAAACGGATGATGAAAGCATGAGGTATGTTTTTCTCACAGAGTCGAATGTCCCCTTCTGGAAAATCCTTCTTAATGTCTTCATAGTATTCTTTTGGACACCAACGATCTATAGTACTATAATAAAATGTAAGCTGAAAGATAAGACGAAAACATTTTATTAGAAAGCACCTTCCCTTCCCAATACAGATATGACACCAGCAGCCGGCAGTGCTCTGAGGACAGCACATATGCCTAGCCCTGGGAGCTAGTCCCCAAGCTTTCTCCAAAGTGTGGCTCTCTCAAGGCAGCAAGCCTTCACAATTTACAGGAGTGCACTTAGAAGAATTTGGTGGGAAGGACTCTTGTGTGACAGATTGCTCATAATTCACTAAAAGGACTTACCAACAAAGTTTTGTATACTAAGCGTGGGGTGGACATTGGAATGAAGGCCGGTGAGGATGACAAAGAGACTTGTTGAGACAGTCACTGAATGACTAGTGACCAGTTAATAAACTTAGTTGTTTCCGAATAGCCACATGGTAGACATATGGGATGTGTTTGTTGAATGAATACAAACATGGATCAGATGGACTCAGGCTTTCCAATGTAGCTGATGAAATGTGATCAGAACCTGAGAGAGTTTATGGCATTTCTAAGAAAAGGCTCTATGCAGTCTGTATGTTGACTCAGTGAGGAAGTGCGATAATCATACTTCAGCTGACGGCAGCTGAAGTATGATTATCGCACTTCCTCACTGAGCAGCTGAATGGAGAAAGAGCCTCCTCTGCGGCATTACTAAGACCCTGACTGGGTATCTACCTAAACCTGCATGTGATATATATGTACATATTGCTCTCAGCTGCTGTGTTTCACTGAAAAACTGCTATGTTCTAGTTCTGTTAGTTCTAAAAATAAAGGCAACAAAGCAACATCTTATATTCAGAAGGATAGTGGTAATTTCTACAAAAACCAGGAACTAAATCTTAAGGATACCTTGACCTCTGTTATCACTGAAAGAAAGAGCTGTGCGCAGCTCCAGCCTCTAGCTGGCCAGCTATAGTCACGTGCAGCTTCCATAATACACCAGAAGTGCTCCCTCACTCAGACGGTGAATCGCTTACTCATTCATCTGTTCAGCAAATACAAATGGAGCACCTACTTTGTATTAGGAACCCAGAAAACAGAGGTAAGACAGTCTTGGGGGAGGGGAGAAGGAGCCCACATATACACAAGACAATTTGAGAGCTCAGGAGAGGCACAGCTGGTCAGAAGCAGTGGGCAGGAAAGATTCCCCAGAGTTAATGCCTGAGTTAAGTCTTCCAGCTCGGGGAGCACACTGTGGGGAGAAGACCAAGCAAACGAAAGCCTGAAAGGGCATGGCATGTACAGGGAACCGGAATTCCACATGGCTGGAATGTAGGGTGGTGGGAGATAAGACTGGAGAGGCAGAGAGGGATGAGGTCTTGGACAGCATCTTCTATTCATGCTAAGGAGGCTACACTTTATCCTGAAGTCCACAAGCAAAAAAAGACTGCACAGTAAGTGACATGCTCAGGTCTCTATGTCAGGAAAACCACTCTGGCCACAACAGGAAGAGGGATTGGAGGGGATCAAGTGGCAGGGGAGGAGGGTGTGGAGAAATAGGCATTATTGCTCACTGGATAGTTTTAGTGTATCAATTATTAAATCCATGATCTGAATATGGGGCAGTTAAGACTGATCTTACAAAAACAATGGCCTTCACTACGATAACATTATGCCTTAACCAATATTTAAAGGGATAGTTAAAAACACTCTATAGAGGAAAAAATTTAATGTAGTACTCCAGAAAGTGAATTATGAACAAGTAAATCTCAAGTGGCAGACTTACTCTGAATTGCTTCATGGAGGTTTTCCTTCTTTCTTTTCTTTTTTTAAAATTATACTTTAAGTTCTGCGGTACATGTACAGAACGTGCAGGTTTGTTACATAAGTATAGACATGCCATGGTGGTTTGCTGCACCCATCAACCTGTCATCTATCTAATGCTATCCCTCCCCTTGCCCCCCACCCCACAACAGGCCCTGGTGTATGATGTTCCCCTCTCTGTGTCCATGTGTTCTCATTGTTCAACCCCCACTTATGAGTGAGAACATGTGGTGTTTGGTTTTCTGTTCCTGTGTTAGTTTGCTGAGAATGATGGTTTCCAGCTTCATCTATGTCCCTGCAAAGGACATGAACTCATCCTTTTTCGTGACTACATAGTATTCCAGCTTCATGGAGGTTTTCTTGGTTGTTACCTGGGGTTCCAGTTTTACATGCTGCAGAGGACCTGTAGCTTACAGATTTATCACTTAATTCGTTCTTCATAGTCTCCTATTTTTGCTCACTTCAACCATTTCTGGGCATTCCAAAGTCCCTAAAGCCAAATTTCATTTTGTCATGGTTCTTAGCAGAGTAAAAACGTCTTTTGCTTCCTGGAGAATATGACAGCCTAGCAGTTGCCTAGTTCTTCCTCCTGGTCTCAGCTTTTTCTATAGCTCTAAAATGCTGCAACCTCACAACCACTGGGAGACTACTCTATCCAGCAGCAGAAAAACATGTTTCCCAGGATCTCTCAGCAACTACCCTGCTATAGCTTTGCCTTGAAATACTGCCAAGAGTACAAACTATTCGCAGGTATTAATTATCTACCAATAGGGCTGATAACATTAGGCTCTCTCTAAACTACCCCCTACACTTACCACCAGCAATCTTTTCAACTGTATTCGGGAAACAGCATAGGAACAGTCGCTATGCAGTTACTTAGCACTTCCTCAGAGCAGGGAATACTACTGAGAAATCCATAAAGTCAGGCTTGGGTTCGTGCCCATCAGATCTATTCCTCTGCTCCAGGACATGCTCTCACCTCAAGATCCCTGGACCCTGAGAAAGCTGCTCTAGGATCCTCACTCCA